GATGATATGTTAACATATCGAAGCGTTTAGTTAACTTTATTAATATAATAAAATACGAAGAGAAAAGTTCAAACTTTTTTAACTTAATTATCAAATTCGTAAACAATTGTAGCATTAATTTATGAATAGAAATATAGCATGTTGTTTTAAAATTGTTGACATATGTAAATCTTCAATCAGTCTAATGGATGTATTATATGAATCTGATATAGTTTGTTCAATATCTAACTGCTCAACATCATCAAATTTGTATCTAAAGTATATACTTAATGCTTCTTTTGGTAGTGTTTTTTTGTCAAATTAATGATACTAATGAATTAATTGTGTGCATTGCATTAATTTCAAGTGAGAAGTATACTGTTTTGGTTATAAAATATTTATCTATATTTTTTGTTTCTGAGGGTAGTGATGATTTATTGGCAGATGTGTTATTTTTGTTTAAACTTTATTAGAAGAAACAGTAATCAAATCGGGCTGTGCCCATTGCATGACACTGGCAGAGAGGGAGAGTTTTATGTTTTATTTTTAAGCCATAACCACCATAATCGACAAACGAATACAATAACCCATGCTGAATGCAAACGTTCCTTAACTGTTGCTGATTTTTCAATATCAGCAGCTATTAACAATTTTAATAGATGAAGATAAACAAATCTTTCTGATGTTGGGATTACTACCTATTCTGGGGGGTTTACAATATTTAACAAATCATGTGACGTCAGTTTTTCACAAGAATAATAATTTTATCTGTGTTTAGGATTAATATCTTTTCAAATAAGACCATCAAGTTTAGAATGTGCATCGCTGTCAATAATATCTTGCAAATGCTCTATGGAAATTAACTGGTGACTCATCATTAGTTGGCTGTTGAAGATCATAAACGATTTCTTCACTTTGTAGGATCTGAGTAGGACGCACGAAGAAGAAGCAAAGTCACACATCGAAGTACATCGTGGCTGGATTCTGCAAAGTTTGCTCCTTCATAAGTCGTTCGATCGTTTATCATTTAAAGGCACAGTCTATCGTGGTATGTGCGTGACAGAACAGGATTTACAACAATATTCTGTCGGCACACAGATCACGACAAAAGCATTTATGTCTACAACAAAAGATCTGCGAGTGGCTGAAAGGTTCGCTAGTGAACGTGAAAAAGACGATGGAAAGCTATCTGCAACTGTACATATAAACTATGTAAGCATCGTACGGGACTAGATATTGAGACTGTATCAGAATATCCGCATGAAAAAGAAGTGTTGGTAATGCCATACACCGCCTTCAATGTTAAAGAAATACAGAGATGTAGACAATGTCAGGATATCATTACGTGAAGTTAGAACACCATTATCTCTCATTAACCTACTGGGTTCTTCCCATCGCGTAGTGTACCGGCTTACTCATCGGTGGGAATTGCGAGAAGGGCGAAAGCTGCATCATTCGAAATAGGAAGAAAAAGATCATTGATCTGAGGACCTTATACCTCGGTCAAATAAGCAAAATAATCACACAATAAAGTGACAAACAAAAAGGTGAGACTACTGTTGTCAAAGGAAAATTCTCTGTAGTTTCTACCATTTTAGTTTTCCAGAGCGTATTTAAGAGTGAAAAAAAAGAGCACCTTTGTTAAGATCATAGTTTTTCAAATTCAGAACGTAAGCTAACTTGTCCAAACATCTTTACAGCAATATCCTTCGTTTTTCTTTCAAACTTGGTGCCACGGTAATTGTACAACAAAGTTTTGCCAACTGCGAAATGTATTCGATTGGCAATAATTCGCCTTAAAATAGATTGTGGCAGATAATTGAGTTGTATTGGGCTAGGCGTTACGAAAATTCGCATGTAATTGATGATTTTAAGGAGCAAGGCTTTATATTGATATATTTTTGTCGAAAAATTTTCTTAAGTTGTTCAGCAATGCCGTGGTTTGTTTGGGCCCGGTATCTGTCAAGGGAGGTCCTGCATGCGATCATGAATGACTTTTAAGAGAGGATTTGCCAGTCCAGTGAAGAAGCGGTCACTTGAAAATTTACACCCTATACTTTCTTGATTCTACACGTGAAACTATGGGAATGAAAACATTTTTAGACTTAGACCTTATTTCGACTGATTTACAGAAAAGCCCCGTGAAGTCATTCGAAGATTTCTTGAAAAAGCATTGTCTCTAACAAATTTGTAAAGCACCACAATTCTCAGTCACGTGAAAGCAATTAGTATCAGGTCCAAAAGTATTTCAAAACCTAAGCATTAAGATTCGAGAAAATAACAATTTCTTTACTATTTTCAGTGACTGTGGTTAAGTGAAGTCGATTACACCATGTTTTACTTGGATTTTTCTTCGAGAACATGATGTAATCAACTTTTCGAGTTTTTCTCGATCATACGGATTCTTGCCGTATTGCTACATACTCGTTATGCATTAAACTTTCCACCCTCTGCACCATGTTCCCGATCGATTCAGAGAAGGGATGTTGGAGTGTTTTGTGCAGCATTTTTAATTCGTGATACAGCGACAACATCGGGTACAATATCTCGAATATCTGTTAAAAGATCGATTTCATTTATAGATAGATCAATATTTTTCAATACACAGCTAAACGTTTTTTGGATAACTTTCGCAGCACGTGATGTGTAAGTGAAACTATCACCAAATAAATTTAAGGGAAGGTTAATCAAAAGATACTGTTGTGCTGCATCATCTTGTGGGAATAAAAGTAAGTCTTTCTTTGACTTAAAACGACAGGTAGTTGGACATTTATGAATATTCTTCAGATCAATTAATTTTGTTCGTATTTCATTCGAACCGGGAGTATTTCCAGTAAATGATAAAATAAACGGTGGAAACGACTCGGGCGTAAACGCGACTCGTCGTTTCATCATTTTTGACGGTGGAGACAATGATGAGTAAGGCCTTTGTTGTTGTTAGAAATTGTGAGAGATGTTTGCCCTTGTTGCTGTTGGCTAGTTGTTGAGTGAGAATAACATTGCTTTAGATATCATCGAAAAACCAATTTGGATCGTTATTTTTTCTTTGTGCAGAAATATTTTGAACCGCGTGAACCTCATTTTGAGAAACAGCACCAGTGTTAGAGTGATGACTCATTTGTATGTATGTACACGTTTTACTAGACTGTACACACACACACACACACAAAGGAGAAAAGTATCGAACAAGCAATACAGACAATATATACGTCCTTCTTGTACAAGTAAAAAAGTTATGTGTAAAGTTATGTTTTTCGATAGGCTTAGTTTCGAATGCTATAAGGGAAATGCTTCCCGTTGTATTTTGAAAGAATAAAACTTATATCAATTGTATGAACACTGACTCTATGTACACGCAAATACACCCTAAATAAAGAAAAGGAAGAAACATGTGGATGTCTTTTTCGCACGAAGTCTACATTTCGTTCATACTTTTATATTTTATTGTATAGCCTACATAGAGTTTTTAGGTCACATAGACTTAAGTCATACAGGTCTATATGACCTATAGATATACGAACGACATGTAATATGAAAGGAGAAAAATGCATTTTCTTTTCCAGTGAACACGCGCATCATCTATAAAAGTAATATGAAAACTTGAGTAAATTGAGCAATAACTGCACAGTAGACTACTGTGCAGTTATTGCTCAATTTACTCAAGTACTACTGTCAGTAGTACATTGCAATTAACAGTGTGTGTATATATAAACTTTATACTATAAAGTAGCAGAAATAAAAGTGCTGTGCGCTCATTTTGAGTTCAGTGTCTAAGTGAATCTGAGGTGAATGGTCTAGCTTCATTGAATCATGCTCTCGGGAAGAAATATGGGTAAAATATGGTGGAATCCGCGTCACCACATACTCGTTATGCATTAAACTTTCCACCCTCTGCACCATGTTCCCGAAGAAAAAATCGGGTAAAACATCGTGCAATAAACAGATAATTCAGTTCTCCACAAACTTTTTATTTACAAAAAGCGAGAGTCATCAAAGTTAGCGACCTAGAATAACAATGACTTAAGCCAACCGCAAACAAAGTAACAAAAATAAGGATATAACAAGAGACATAAATATCAGAAAAGAAGAACTATAAACACGCTCTTCAAAAAAGCAAAAAGGAGACGACTGGGCTTCTCACTTCGAGTTCTGCTAAGATCAAAGATCCTACATAGAGAACACGTAATCAAGTTTTGACATAGAAAATGCTCCATTTCTTATGCGAGATAACAACTTCAATGTACTACTGTGCAGTTATTGCTCAACTTACTCAAGTTTTCATATTACTTTTATATATGATGCGCGTGTTCACTGGAAAAGAAAATGCATTTTTCTCCTTTCATATTACATGTCGTTCGTATATCTATAGGTCATATAGACCTACTGAATACTTTAAATGATATCTCAAAATCGCTAGAGTCGGTTACAATTGAAATTAACCAAATAAAATCTTCTTTGCATCAAAATTTCTCAAATCATCAAGCGTTAAAATTAGTGGTAATAAACTGTCAATGTCTTCTGACCTCGTTTGTACACACAATTGTTTCCCATTATTAGTAAAAATGCTGATCCAAGCGATATTCCATTACTACAACAATTATACGATTCAATCTCGATTTCAACTAATAATAACAGGAGTAACAACGATAACGTCTCAACGAGTTCGTCAGCAAATAATCAACATACCGAATCCCCTTCACCACTTGATACTTGGGAAAAAAGTCATTCATGACGACTCGAGTTATGTGTTTGAACATTAATAGTTTTAACGCTCATCATATCGAACTCTACGATCTAATTTCTAAAGTAAGACCAGAAGTTTTCTGCTTAAATGAGATTTTTTCTTTTGATGAAAAGATGTTTTCAAAATTGTTTTTTGACTACCAGTTCGTTTTTAAAAATAGGGTACATTCGAGAGGAGGCGGTGTCCTCACTGCAGTCAGAAAACCCATTTCATTTAAAATTATAAATTTCAAATTCTCTGAAAAGGTGCTCGGTATTGAATTGACTAACTCGTCCATTTTGAATCTAAAAATTTTCACATACTATGAGTCCCCTAACGCACATTTCAATAATAAACTTTTTGATGAAATAGTAAACTCATCACCATGCCTCCTACTTGGGGACTTAAACGCTAAAAGCAATTTATGGGGTCATTCAAATCCAAACCCTCGAGGTCTTCATATAGAATCTCATCTCGACGATGGAGATATTCTTCTATTAAACGATGATACTCCCACCCACCTGTATATCCGGAATGGTGCTCTATTTAAAAACATTTTAGGTCTAGCTTTTGCTAGCTCAGATTTGGCGCCGTTTTTCTCTTCTTTCGATGTTTGTCAACTATGGTCCACTCCCGGACATCTTCCCATTCTAATTGACGTTAACTTATCTCTCGACGTTTCTGTTTCATCCGTTTGCTTATCATATCTTCTCAAACGCACGAACTGGTCCTTGTTTAGTTATGAACTATCTAGTGTCTCTGCGTCTGTACTATACTCTATTCGTTACTCTAATGACACCAATCACATCACTAACGCAGTTACGGAGGCTATTTCTTTCGCGTATAACGCAGCGACTTCCATTAACCCTTTAACGGGCGAATTTTGGATAGCGAAGTTCTGTTGCTGCCGATGCTGCAGTCAGGTAGGCCGTGGCTTAGACTATCATGCACGTTGATCGGGTCAACAATATTGAGGTACTGCACGCGT